CTCAATCTCACTTGCCAGAACGCGCTCGTGAGATCAAACTTGCTGAAATTTTCGCGCCCTTCAGCTTGTCAATCAACGCAAGGCATCAGGCGACGGGTACCGATCCCTGATCGTCGCCTCATTCAGACGCCGGGAGTCCATACAGACGCGCCAGCCATCACCCTTCTTGACGAACATGGGCTGGGAGCAGAACGCGGACTCGGACTCCACAATCATGCCAGTCTTCAGGCCGTCATCCACGTACTTCCTCAGGGCTTCCTCCTTGCCACGGCCAAACTTGCGGTTCGGGTCGCACCTGAGCTGCTTGGACGGGTCAATCCGGATCACCGCATCAAAACCAGGTCGGCTCACGGGCAGCTTCTTGGGTCCGCTCGGCTCAAAACGATCAGCGAACTCTGCGTACGCCTCGGGCAGAACCACCTCCAGCGCATCGGCCGCCGCGACCAAGCGCACAAACATACGCCGTTTCTGTCGCTTCCGACGTCGCCGGAACGCCACCACTGACGACGGCAACCTCGCCTCCGACGCTTCCCGCTGGATCGCCACCGGCGCTGGCTTGGTCCCCGTCACCACTGGCTTCGCCTCCTCCGCTGCTGCCGCCGGCTTGGCCTCTGTCGTCGCCGCCGGCTTAGTCTCGTCCTGAGCCTCCGTCTCTTGCGCCACCGCCGGCTTAGCCTCGTCCCGCGCCACTTGCGCCACCGCCGGCTTAGCCTCGTTCTGCACGTCCGCCGCTTTTGCAACCACCGCGGGCGCAGCCTCGTCCTGCTGCACCACGCCAATGACGCCCGAGCCCAGACTGCCCTTGCCTCTGACACGAACCGGCTTCATGCTCTCGAACCGCACCGTCCGAGTCGCCAGATCGATGACAGGATTTGCCGCCGCCAGCACATCCATGCCCAACAGGAGCGGCACCACCGGCCCATCCAGGATCATCGCTTGGACCCACAACTGCCGGCCCGCCAAAGTAACTCGCAGCGCCACGCCCTCGCGCACCTTCATCTCCTCTTTCGTCACTGTCCTCAACTTGATCATTGGAACTGGAAATGAGGGGGCACGAAGTGTATTTGCTACAGCACGGCTCACAAATGTGGCGACCGATCCAGTGTCAATAAGAGCTTGCACCTGCATCGCGGTATCAGAAGAACCCGCGCACGCGACTTGCACCTGCTGTGTCAACGCTTCGTATCGCCCGACTCCTACCGCGTTCAGGGGGAGTCGGGCTGGGCTTTTCCCTGCGCGGCCTCACCTTGAACTGCCGCCGCCGCCGGGGCCTGACCGCATGTCTTCCTGAGATGGGTTCCAGAGCCACAGCGGAAACAAAGGTGCTCACGATGACGTCTCTCGAGCTCCTCCGCCGCCAAGTTGTACTTAGCCGCCATAGCCTCCGCTGTCAGGACCCGCAGTCTCTGCGGTCCCGGCTGGGTCGCTCTTTGCTAGGAAGACTCGGCGTTGCAAAACATAGGAATTGATTCCTTTGTTTTGTCTGCATGCATTTGGAATTGCAGTTCAGTCTGCAAAGTGAATTAAAAACACTTTTCTACAACAACCTTGCCTGGCTAACCCTACCAAGGTCTTACATCCGCGAACGCCACAGCCGCCACCATACTGGCCTGTGTCATGCCCCAATCGCATGGCTACTTACTTGAATGCATTACCTTGTGTTGTTTGTCATGTCTCCCATACTGAGAATGTTGTGATCGGAGATCGTTCCACGAAGATACGAGTAATGGGTTGATGTTGAGAATGACGTTAGGGAAACTAGAGACTTCT